AACTAACAATATAAACAATAACAATTTTTAACTAACAATTTGAATAAAAACTTAAATCCCTGATTTTCACCTTTCTTTTTGGACTTCTAAATATTTTAAATTAATTTATGAGCACACTGTGGTTTATGCAGTGTTCATCAATGACATCTTTTTATTTATTTAAATCAAAATCATGTCTGCCTTGCTATTTTTTTAAAATTCAATTTTTATGCTATTATCTGCAGAAAGCATGGACAGAATATTGATGGTCTCTCTGTTCAAAGTCATTGCTAGATGCAATTAAGCCTCACGTCTTTATTTCCTACAGCTCCTATCCAGTTCCTGTGACAATTGTATTCATTCCCATTGGGAACATTTAAACATTGAAACATAAAACAGTTGAACAAATCAATCAGCATTTATAGAGGTTGTTCTCTCTCTCCTTTATACCTGTTCTTAATTGCTGTCATCCATTAATCCCTGACTTCTTGTTAGTAATGGTACCTGCTGTCTCGCAAATCTCAGACGTGTTATTCCTGACCGATTGTGAAGTTCTGTTAATGATGTAGTCTGATTGTATCAAGGGGCAATACTTTAACCGCCAGGACAGCTGGTCAATTACAGCTTCTCATCAAGGAAGGAGAAGTACAGGCTCCTGGAAATAAAGCCTCAATTTCAGGCACCATAACGTTCAGATTTTTTTAAACTGTCAAAATAGGATGCACAGGGTGCTTAATGAGAATTTCTTGTTAGCCTGTACTTCCCGTTTGTGTGCCCGAGCCCCGATGATGCTGGGCTAATAATATCTCCTCCTCTTGCTTTCAGTGCGTTTGGACTGTCCGTCAGGACTATGTGATTTATTAGTCTTGAGACTTCTTTGTTTCAGAGGTAGCGGCGAAAATCATGTTCACATGGAGTGGCTTATTGTGTGGAATCTGCTCGGGGCCCACGGTGTACTGAAGAACACCAGACAGGGGGTCCGAACACTGACAGGGTCATTCTTACTTTCCTTTGTAAGTTTAGATTGCAATTATAGTGATGCCAGGTGGAATTAATATCGTTACACTAGTATTCAAAGACATCAAACTGGTGGAGTGTGCTTATGTGATATGTCTATGATAAAACACACCAAAAAGAAGCAAATATGGATGGATAAAGTGTTTTTGTATGGAAGATCTCTGTTTGATCAGTAGGATGTAAAGCATGAAGAATGTAGCTTCCAGAGCTTGATAGCCATACGGAAGATCAGTATCTTTAGTATCTTTCCAGGCTGGAAAACATCACTCTTTCATCCTTTGTAAACGGTGTAGGTTGAAGGACGTGTCTCTCTGATTGAACTGATATGTGTGCCGGTGCTTCTGAAACTGGTGGCAATAGATTCACCTTGAAATCTTCCCTGCACTGATGTACTGGAATAAATGATTTAAATATTTATTTATTTGCAGATGGCCAAATTTAAAAGGGGGTGTAATAGATGATTGGATATATATTCATATTTATAAGGTCAGTAATAATACAGCAATTAAATGAAATTAAATCTTCGTTGATTGCACTCATTACAAACAGATGTTTTAAGAGAATCAATGTATTTGGATTGAAAAAATCTTGCAATTAATGTTGCCATACCAGTGTATGTGTGATAATATAAACTTCACCACAAAATTAATTTAATCATCTTCTTTACTGTGCAAAAAGACATACATTTCTTTTTAAATTAAACTGCATATTGAAACTATATTTGCATCTCCGAAAGCAAATACCAGTGCTTGCAAGGCAGCAAACGTGTTAAGAATGTTAACGTTTTTAGGCTTAGTTTTTGTTAGGCTGTTGCCATGACACTCAGGACATTGTGCAAATCATTATATACTATAAATGGTTGAATGTATGCAAGGACAATAGATGAAAGAAAGAATATCAATTGTAATTAAGTTTGTAAATACTACAAAGGTTCCAACACTGTCAGTTACAATTTGAATTAACTGAACTTTTATTAACTTTTCTTAAACATCACATTAAAAAAAGAACAAGCCCTAACCTAAATGTTAGACAAATGTTAAGACAATGCTGCCTTGCAAACACTGTTATTGTTCAGATATTCAGATTATTTTTGCCAGACTGCATGGAGAACATGAAAAACAATGGCATCAGTAGCAATAAACCATATCAAAGCTCATATAATAGTGATCACTGCTAGTGTTAAAGTTAACATTTTAAAATGATGCTATACATGTCTAGAATTAAGCTACAGGACTACAGTCTCTAACCTCATAATTTACAATATTAAACTGACAGATGTCCTCTGTGAATAAAGTACACAGCTATTGCATATCACATTGAAGCCTAAAATCTGAATATATTTGCAGGTACATTGATTCCAAATAGCCCCCTGGGAAATGGACAGGAACCTGCCCTCATGCTGTGCCACCGTAGATGGAAAAACAAGACTGAAAGACTCAGCAGGGCAGCGTGTCACAGCATTCAGAAAGAGGTACGGAACAGTCGTTCATGTTCAGTTCAGGTATAACATGAGAACAAAACCTCTTGACCAGTATAGATTCTCTGAAACACTTGTAAAAGCTTTCTTGTTTTTCTTTGATTTTGCAATGTGGCCTAGCTAATAACTCCTAACATCCTTTGCTTTTTAGTCTTAGATGCTTGATACATTCCGCTGATGACATCCCCATTCATTTCTCTTTCTGTATAGAACAATGGACAATATGGGTCCTCACCATGGATGCATTCAAAGCATTACTTTCAAATTCTTATACAATGAGTATCAGGCCAATAATAAAAGCATAATGTGAATTCATGTAGAATAGTCCAAATACTAAAGCACAAACAAAAAGTTTGTTTGTTGCCCTCAGCATCTTAATGACACAATTCCATCTTTTCTCTTTCAGGCTTTTTTTTAAATGTAGGAATGCATAGGGACAATATTGAGTATTCAAGTTTTTTATTTTATCTGTCAATGTTAACTATTTATTTGTCCATGTTAATTTCTTTATTTTAGATTTGCTGTCAACTCACGCTCACTTAAAGTGAATTTACTTTTTCACCTATTATATTTGATATCACATTATATATTTTATTATATATTTATTGCTTATTGGCCATGAAATACAATGTTAAAATTGGTGCTCCTTTGGTTTTATACTATGCATTTACCTTTGTATATTTCTGTTTGTTTGTTTTTGTTATATTTGTTTATATTTGGTAATAGTTTCTTTAAAATTTATTTAATAGTATAAAGTATAATATTTTATTTAATTTTAATAGTTCTTCATCTTCTTATTACTTTTATTATACTAAAGCTTAACTGACTTACAATTAGATCAGTCTGCTATGTTTTCTCTGAGTTGGCCCGAATCTAATATTTTTGTTATCACATGACTTTTAACAACCTATTTTAATCTCAACTCGTAACTTCATATGCATATATACGTTTCATATCGAAGAACGTCGAATCCGCAGGGCCGCTAAGTACATGTTGATGTATTGTTTACCATCTGTTGGCCCAGCATGCTGACAGAAATTAAAGGCACATGCCCACCCCCGTCTTTCTCACAGCTAGAAGACAATAAATGCCTTGCTTCTATCTCTGAGTTGGCCCGAATCTAATATTTTTGTTATCACATGACTTTTAACAACCTATTTTAATCTCAACTCGTAACTTCATATGCATATATACGTTTCATATCGAAGAACGTCGAATCCGCAGGGCCGCTAAGTACATGTTGATGTATTGTTTACCATCTGTTGGCCCAGCATGCTGACAGAAATTAAAGGCACATGCCCACCCCCGTCTTTCTCACAGCTAGAAGACAATAAATGCCTTGCTTCTAATAATACGACTATTGGTGTGACACGCTCAGCTTGCTGTCACATTATTAGTGGCAATCACTGATGGTTATTTGGAGGGACGGGACTGCAACGAAGTGGTGTTCAAAACATCTTTATGATTGCTCATACACTGTATACTTTATTCTAGTGTTCTATTATGCTTTATAAATTAGGTACTTAGATACTTAAAGAGATTGTTCATCCCAAAATGAAAATTCTGTCATTATTTTCTCACCCTCTCGTTGTTCAAAACCTGTCAACTTTAGATATTTATATTTATGTATGTATGTCCATATGACGTAAGTCAATGGGGTCCAATATGACTTTTGCAACTTACTGAGGAAAGTCATACAGGTCTGGAATGACACGAGGGTGAGTAAATGGTGACAGAATTTAAGTTTATGGGTAAACTGACCTTTTTAAAGTAATCTATGACCAAAAAAATGCTTCTTCCATGCTGCCACGGGTTCGTGGTTATTAAGAAGTATTACACATATGTGACCCTGGACCACAAAACCAGTCTTAAGTCGCACGAGTATATTTGTAGCAATAGCCAACAATACATTGTACTGTATGGGTCAAAATTATTGATTTTACTTTTATGCCAAAAACCATTAGGATATTAAGTAAAGATCATGTTCCGTGAAGATATTTTGTAAATGTCCTACCGTAAATATATCAAAACATAATTTTTGATTAGTAATAGGCATTGCAAAGGACTTCATTTGGACAACTTTAAAGGCGATTTTCTCCGTATTTAGATTTTTTTGCACCATCAGATTTCAGATTTTCAAATAGTTGTATCTCAGCCAAATATTGTCCTATCCTAACAACCATACATCAATGGAAAGCTTATTTATTTATTCAAAAAATCTCAATTTCAAATAATTGATCCTTATGACTGGTTTTGTGATCCAGGGTCACACATAATATAAGCACAGAAATAAACAACAAAGAATACTGTATGAAATACGAACATGATACTGTGTATTCATCGCACTTTGATTTTGATTACTATTTTGCTCCTTCATCAAGCACATTTTACAGCAATAAGATCTAATTTATAAAGCATTTTATAAAACATTTAATGAAGCTTTACAACTGTTCCAATTTCACTTAATTGAAGTCATTGCAATTTGACTTAATTGAAGTGACTGAAAAGCTCCTCTGCGAGAGCAATAAGGAATTCATCAAAAACGTCTCTCAGCCTCTGTGTGACTGCATCAGTCCCTAGAGAGACATGAAGGGTACAGACAGCCTACAGCACCAGGTCAGGTCTCTCAGCTAGTTTCAAAGCCTCGTGCATGCTGGCTGCCGATAGCTTGCGGTTGATGTTCCGATAGCGGCAGCGGATGAGGTTGTGGTAGGTGGTCCTGAGGTTTCTGTTGAAGAATGCATAAATGAAGGGGTTGATGAGCGAGTTGGCATAGCCCAGCCAAAGCAGTGTCCTCTCCACCCACAAAGGCACGCAGCTACACTGCACTCCGCAGATGAACGGCCGCGCCGTAGAAAGCAGGAAAAAGGGCAGCCAGCATACGGCGAAAGCCCCCACAACAATCCCGAGGGTGGCCGCTGCCTTCTGCTCTCTTTTGAAGATGGAGATGTTTTTACGGTCATTTTTGAGAAGGCGAGAAAAGCTCACACACACCTCCACCTCCCTTTGCAGCTTTAGGACCGCAGTTACGCAGTTCATGCTTTCCTCGTCTTCGGCTTTGGGAAAACCAGCGATTGTGTGTTTGGCAGCACTCACCTTTGCCACTCTGTATATCCGGTAGTACATAATGAGCATCACAGACATGGGAATGTAGAAGGCCACGGTGGTGGAGTAGATAGTGTAGCCCAGATCTTGGCTGATCAGACACACATTGTCATCGTTGACATTCTGAGCCCATCCAAACAGTGGGGGTAGGGTGATGGAGGCAGAGAGAAGCCATACAAACAGCACTATTTTGGCCATGCACTTTCCACTCTGTCTCACGGGATACGTCAGTGGCTTAGTGATGCCCAGGTACCTGAGAAAATGGAGTGGAGAATGGGAAAAATGAAAGCAGGAAAAAAAATAACTGTTAAAGTGCATCACTGTCAAAGAATGCATAAATGTGGGCACTTTGGTGGTGATTTTCTTTCTCCTTCTTAGGAATAGTTCGATCTAGGCTTGAAATAGCTCCTTGAAAAGAGACCAGGGCTAGTTATCATAATGAATAAATAGCTATAAAATATGTAAATAGCACAGTAAGGGTTTTAGTCAAACAAGTTTTGTCCAGCAGTGTTTTTTTATTATTTATTTTTATTATTATTTTTTTTAACTTCTGTCCTTCAAACTATTTTTTTATATATTTGTTAGGTAAACAAACTGGCTTACTGACATACATTCAGACAATAGTCGAATATATATAAGAAGATTTGAACTGCAAGGTTCTCATGACAATTGTGTTTTTCAAAAATGTTACATACACTGTAAAAAGTGGTAACCTTTAATTGAGATATATCTTGAAGAGATATGTCTACCTGATTTAACCCATAAAATTAAGTTTATAAGCTTGAAAATAACTTAATGTGTTTAAATTGAGTGATGTTAGATAATGTTAATTTTTGATTTGAATAAAACCATTTAATTTAGATGTTACTATTTTTTTAGTGTATGCTGTCATTTATATTTACTCTCTCTCTCTCTCTCTCTCTCTATATATATATAGTTTGACTAATGGTCTGATTAATGGTTTATTGATGGTTTGACATTTTTTGCACATTACTTTTTTTTTTTTTTTTTTTTTACATTTTTTCTGGTTTTATAAATTGTTTTGTGTTTCATAATTATTTAATCTACCACTGATTAGTTTAATCAAATTATGCTTGCATCTATTTTTAATTACAGCACCTACATCTGGGAGACCTACCTGTCTATGCTAATGACACATAGTGTCATTATTGAAGCGGTGCAGCACATCACGTCCATGGCGATAAAAACATTACAGAAAGCACGACCAAAGATCCACTGTCCTCCTATGAGATCAGTGATGCTGACAAACGGCATTACGACCACCGCAACCGACAGGTCTGCTACGGCCAGAGAAACGATTAAGTAATTAGAAGGTTGCTTCAGTTTCTTCACAAAACACACTGATATGACCACCAACAAATTCCCGCAAACTGTTAAAAAGGTAAGCAAGGTCAGAACCCCTCCGATGAGCACTTTCTCAACATGTCCGTAACTCAAAATCGGCTCTCCGCATCTGGTCTCGTTATCCATGAAACTTGGCGTCGGCAAAGTTGTAGTGGTGTCGTGCATCTTGTTAAGAAAGCGCACGTCCATCACTTCAGATGTCAAACTAGTCATGAGTGCCTGCACGCGATCCTTCGTCAGCGTTGAGATCATATTGGCTGTTGAGAGCTGTCCTTGGTTCTGAAAAGATATTGCTCTCATTATCCATCAGATATCCAAGTCCCAGTTAAATACATGATATGTAATAACTACACACATATGCTGTACCGATTTTCTGGCTCTATCTGTGATAAAAGAAAGAACATCATATCCACACGAGAAGAGCCATTCAAGTTGTCAAGTTAAAGCTCACCGAACGAACCACGCGCTCTCCACGGCATTTAGTCTATTTTATTGGCGTCTTGACTGTGCGTAATGACGTGAGATGTTTATGGGCGTGATTTTGACAGACTGTAGTCATGGGATGTCAAACTGGACAATATTATCTGTGTACTGTGTAGCTAAGAGAAAAAGAGAGTATAGGCTAAGCATCACAATACATTCAACTTCAATCTACATAAGAATTTTGTGCAAGTGTAAAAAAAAAAAAAGCAAATATTTCCTGACACTTTGCTTTAAAAAGTCTTTACTACCATCTCATGGCCTAACATAGAATTACAATGACTAATTATTTGATAATAGTAGTATTCATACACTATAAACTATAAAAAATGTAAACCACTAAAAGTGAACAGAGTTAATACTACCGTAAGTAAAATAAAGTTTCATTGCATTTATTTGATCAGTTTGAATTTAAATCTTCTTAACACTCATAAAATTAAGTAGAACGTATATAATAAGATGTTGTTACAATTTTGAATACATTCTTTTTTTCGGGGTAAAAAAAATGAAACCTGTGAACTGTGTGTAGCATTGTATGAGATGTGTTAATGCAGGATAATTTCAGATAATCATTTAGATTTGCGGAGAAAGCTATAGTATTTGTGAATAATACACGGGTTTTTGTGAATAAGACTAAAACTGGAAGAACACTGAGGCACAGGAACAGTATTTGGCTTCCAGTTACCATTAACTCATGATAGTGTCTTCTGCCTCTACAGAATGACCTCAGCTCACACGACGAGGGAGAATGGCGGTCCCAAAAACCCTGCAGGAGAGAAATAAAGAGGTAAGGCCATGTATTATTCAAGAGGAGAAAAAAAAAAACATTGGACAGCGAGGGACAGAGAGGACAGGTAAGAAAAAGAGAGGGATGAGTGGCTAGAGAGCAAGGAGAGGGGGAAGGAAACATGGAAAGAGGCTGGAGAGTAAGTGGGAGGATCAAGAGAGTGACAGGAGATACGTCAAGGACAAGTTTAAATATGTTTTTTTTATGTATATAAGTGGGCATTGTAGATTCATAATTAATCATGTAATGTCAAACTCACTGATAGATTGTATTAACAACAGATTATGTGATATTATACTTCAGTACAATGAGAACACATTCATCTTTCAAATTAAGTTAAAATGTCCAGTATTGACCAAAAAAAATAATAATAATTGAAAAAAAAATGTGATTGTTTGGTGAGGTTGATGCCAAGAAGTGACAGTATTGTGGTTGTGATGGGCATTATTGCCTTCTCAGTTTCTCTAGGCTCTGTGGCTCTATTTACTTTGACTCTATTCATTTGTAAAGGTTGAAATAAAGGGAATCTCAACCCTGAATAATGAAAAAGACTATTTGGCATCTAAATGTGAAATTTAAATCTGAGCTATTTATAAAATCAATCATTTTAAAGTTATTAATCCTTCTCAATTCTACTCAATGGCATTTGAAAAAACATTTAAATATTTTAATATGCCTGGATGTTTTTTGAATCCACAATTCCTCTCATAATGTCATCTCTAAGGCCCACAAAAACAGCATTTTCTTATTAGTTCATTTGTCTCCTTAAGCACACCTATTTTTTAAACAGATTCATTGGCTTCCTGAAGGAGGCAAGTAGCCAAAGATGGACTACTCCAAAATGCACTAGATGAGAGTCAAGCTGCCAAAATAAAAATAAAAAATGTCTCTTTATAACTACAAGTATTACAAATATACTTTGGTCCACATAATCAAACTTTTGTTTTCAACTCAGTGAGTGATTGAGCCTCTTAATAGGCTACTGATTTGGTCATAGGCACCACCCAGTGGTCTGATATCATTTACCAAAAGGGCTTTTCTTACTTTAAATAGTTCACCCTTGGTCAAAAATAATTCCTTACTTCTGTCTTGCTAACGTTTTACACTGTTCATAATTTTTGGGCAGGCCGGGTTCCAGAACCAATTCAATGAGGGTACTTCTGAAACTATACCATTTTTGACTGTACTAAAGCATAAAAATAGAATAATATGTTTGCAAATATTTAGGAAACAAGTTTACATCCACTTTGAAATGGGCGTTCTGTGTCGGAATATCTGTTTTTGTTTTGGTCTGCATGTTTTCTCCCACTGCCAATTTACTTTCACATTGAGCAGCATTAACTACACAGAGCCGTTGTTCACTGACGAGCTGCGCAAAACCATGTTCATATTCGCGCGATTTTTTGCGCAGCTCGTCAGTGAACAACGGCTCTGTGTAGTTAATGCTGCTCAATGTGAAAGCACGCACGTGATGGAGATTTACCGCTGATTACAGAACCGGCTTTTCTGACAAGATGCGCATTAAATATTGCATGCGATTTATCGTGCAGCCCTAATATTATGTGTTTATCTTATAAATGTTGATTATGTGCATGTCTTTTATATTTTATTACTTAAGGTTAAAATTGTTGACATAATTTTCAGCATTTTTCTGGACAGTTCGATTACGTTTTAGATTAGGTGTTGTAAATGTGGTTTGAGAAGTTTTGAATTTACTATCTTTTTTATTATATTTATTACTTTGTTCTAATTCTGTTACATCTGTTGTGCATTTTTCATGACCTCTTTTAGGGACATACCACAAAATCTCATCAAAAATATGCAAGATTCCAGAGACCCATTTACATTTAAGTTTTTATTCAAGGAAAACATGGAGACTTTTTTGATCAAATTGATTATAAAAAAGGGGGACTAAAAGTGAAGTCTTCTTTTCATGAGTGTTAATAATAATAATAATCATCATCATTTCAAAAGTTGATAATTGTTTTACATTTATAATGTCAGTTCTGTTTTTTTTTTTAAATGTTTCTTTTTTATTTGAGAAGTATGTTGCACTTTTTTAAAGTGTATTTAAAATATTTAAATAAAAAGTATATTTGACATTAAATGTCCATTCTCTGTGTCTTTAAGTATTTGTTACAACATGAACATTAACTAAATATACTCATAATAGCCTACAGTCAATCAAACTAGGTCAGCGATCGCAGTCATACCTAAAAACCCTCAGCATCCATCTAAAAAGCTCTGTTATCAGAGGCATATCAAAACGCAAATAAATCAATACATCAATTTACAGTGTAAGGCTCATCACCTTCCATTGTAAATTGTGGAGGAGGAGGATTTGGGACAAACAACTCTCCAATATTTTGAATTTGGACTGCAGTACCCATTTCAACCACTTACTGTCAATATTACATACTGCACCTTTAAGCAGGGGCGGTTCGAGAGGTGGGGTCGGTGGCAACAAGCTTGGCCCCCCTAAATTTGGAATCATATCACACAGTAACATGATTAAAACATCAGAAACAAAAAATAACTATGTAAACACCAAAACGCAAGTATTATTCAGATTTTATTACCTTTAGAGTAAGTGGCGAATAGTGGATATAGCTACTGTATATGATGCATCTATTGACGGAATAAGGTTCGGTTGCGCTGCTGAGGCGAGGCTCATGCAGCCTCTCCAGAAGAAATCAAAACGCGCAACACTAAGAAACTCAGCATCCTGAGGTAAAAATTCAAAATGGAAAGTTTTTGTATTTAAAATACAATTAGTTAGGCAACATCACACAACGTTTTCACCATTACGACTGTTTAATAGTTCTATAAACAGTTCAATAAGCAAATACAATAATATTAGGTCACTTACATTTTAGGCAGAAACACAGCGCATCTCACAGCAACCGCCGATTCATTGCTGAATAATTCCGTGTTTTGAACGAATCGGTTGAGTCAAAGTTTCATTAGTATGGAGCTTATAATATGACAATACTATTTGAATTTTAATTATTGACAAGTGTCATTTAACAAAACTGAATTTTCCGTGGCATTTAAGTTCTGAATTTGATTTTTTTAACTTGAATATTTTACATTTGAAATTTAACACAATTACATTTTTTATGGCAGTATTTTTAATAGACATGTATTTTCAAACAGCGGATTTTTTTTGTTCTGAATTGTTAGACTGCAAATATCCAGTTTTTAAAAATACAGCTTCAAGTTTTCAAGATGAAGAGGAAATTCGCAACATCAAATTAAGTATTCAAAATTCAATAAGCAGAAATTCAGTTTGTACAGAAAGTAGGTCAGAGGTTATCCACAGGTTTTGTAAGAAAAATATCCATATTCAAAACGTAATAATCACTTTAATCTAGCTTGCGCCAACAGTTGTAAACGGAAGCAGTTCCGGGCGGATGACCGCTGAGGTCAGCGCTGCACATGCGCTAGTGAGTCTCGTGAAAACCAACGTTTGTTTACAGGATCAAAGGAAGCAAAGCTACCTTACTTTAGCAAAGGAAAACCTCCTCTTTACTTATATCGAAATCCTCCGACATTCTTCTTTACAAATCCTCGTTTTGTACTTCTAATTAGTGACCGTTGT